GAAGCTGACAAAATCTCAATTTCCCATGTTGATAGCTGTATCTTTCAGAAAGCAGAGAATATTACTATGCTAGATTTGATTCTGGCCTATAAGAAGGAATTGGTAGATGTGTTAGAGACGATCAGAACACTAGGAGGGCGTTATTATGCTATCTTAAAGATTGATATAGAAAGGAAAATATATACAGAGTCTGGTGAGAGCTCTATATTTCTGCAGAGGTACCTCAATTCAACATCCATTTTAAAAATGCCTAATACGTGCTAAAGCTATCTGTTTGGCATTAGACAGACAATGACAAGGGGCTCAGTATAAGAAGGATCCCATTGGTTGAGACTCTAAAAGCAAAGTTATCTCAAGATGATTGACTCTGATGAAGAAAAGAGGAAGTGATAAAAATCAATGCTCCATTAACCACAATCAGATTTTAGAAGAATGTGCCATATTTTTAAAAATGAAAACACTGGCAGATAAATGAAACAGAATAGCAGTGGTTCTGTAAAAAATAGTGTCAAGAAGGATAAAGTCTAATTATGCACTAAAACTTAGAATAAATGCTGAGGAAAACAAACAGTATTTTCAAACAGAAGCAATATCATGGAAGGGATGGGACCCTTGCTTGGCAAGGATGGCAACTTGACAATTATGATAGAAAGGTGGTACTTAACACTTATTTAACTTCAAATTCTCCGACAATGTGAATAATCTTCATATTGGGAAGGATTAACAGAATTGAAAACTAAGTAAAAACATGGTAAAAGAAGACTTCACTCCCTTTAATGAATTCAACTTGCCTGGCCTAGAAAAATTATAAAGTGCTTAGCAAAAGTGCCTGGCACATAGTAAGTGCTATATAAATGTTAGCTACTATTATTATTAATAATTCCTAGACATGAAACCTAAAGAGAAGAGCTTGAATGCAAGCCAATTGAGAAATTTGTTCAAATGATGACTGGAACATAGAAACCACTATAGGAAATAGGCAGTGAGTGCTATGAGCTCCACATGCGATGAGCTCTCCCTACCAAGGAAGCAGTTAAATCGTTTTCCCCTTTGTGCCTTCTGGGGACATTGAGCCACCTTCCAGGAAACTGGAGAAGATTCCCAAGTGGTTATAATGCTAAAGCATGAAGTCACTGATGAAGTGTCCAACTCCTTCTGCCTCAGTCCACTCCTGTATTTGAAAGGGGTAGGGGTGTGTGTGTGTGAGAGACAGAGCATATAAATATATACAGTGAGTATACAGAGTACATAAAAAGTGAGTAGAGATAGAGTGTATATAGTTGTTTATGTGTATATATTTATATCTAGTGTGTATGAGACAGATAGTATATATATACATATATAGTGAATACATAAAGTATACAGAGTAGATAATGTATATTGTGTGTATATATGAGTGTATATATTATATATATATCTAGTGAGTATAAGATATGTATAGGGTATATGAAGTATTTATAGTGAGTAGATAAGTGTGTATGAGACAGTGTTTATATATATATATATATGAGTATATATATCCATATCTAATATGTGAGACTGAGTATATATATGTATGTAGTGAGTATAGTGAATAGAGATAATGTATATATAGAGTATGTATATGTGTGTGTATATATAGTGTCTATGTATATATACACAGAGTGAGTATATATATATAGTATATATGGGTATATATAGTGAGTACATATGTATAGTGTGTGTATATATGAGAGTGTGTGTGTATATATATATATATATAGTGTATATGAGAGAGAGTACATATATATATATAATGAGTGGACAAATGTGTATAGCATGTACAAATATGTATGCATATGCATATGTGTGTATGTGCATGTACAGTCTGTATGTATGTTTGTGGAGAGAGAAAGAGTGAGCTGTAAGGTCATCTAGTCTCACCCCCTCATTTTACAGATGAGGAATCTGAAGTTAAAAGACTTTGCACATAGTTCCATACGCAGTAAGGGGCAGAGCTGGAATATGACCGTTGGGTTCTGGCTCTAAACCCTGAATTCTTTCCACTATACCACGGTCTCCCTTTAGAATCATGATTTCTCCTCTCAATGACCCTATGAAACCAAATTCCTAAGGGGGGAAAAGTCCCCCAGCAGAGCCATTTCTATAGCAGATGCCATTATTTTAGAGGGTGACCTGGACAGCCTAGAGCCACCAAAAAGGTTATCACAAAATGTATTGACTCTTCAATTGAAATATTATGTACTTTGAAGGATAGAAAGCAACGTAATTTAAGGAGAGCATTCACAGGCCAAGGAATGGGCAAGATAAATGTCGGCAAGCTTTATTTTGGTACAAGAAGTGAATTTGACACTCAAGCTTGGGAAAAACCATTGCAACCCTTTGTTGATGGCTGGTAAATTCTGGCCTCTCCCCTTGCTCTGGTTCTCAGATGAGACCAGAAAGCAAGAGACAGAACTCTCAAATGTCAATGACTCCATGTTCTATGACCCCCCTCCAGAGGTTCTGCCTACCTTCATGGCCATGGTAAGATCTGGTTTTAAAAAAATAAAAACCACCTGCCCACCCTGTGGGTACTGCGAGTACTCAGATTACAACCAGGGAATTAGCCTGGGTGTGTGAGTAGAGGCAGAGTTTCTACTAGGGCAAATGCAGATCTTCACACTGATGTTGACTTTTAGAAATGGTGACTACCGAGGTCCTTCTGGGGGCAATAAATCCCTTTAACAGGAGTCAGATCTAGTTTTACTCTCTTTACTCCCCATCCCACTATGGGGAAGTCATCCAAGATCTCAGAGTTACTTCTGGTTACCGCCAGGAAAGTGACAAAGGTTCTATTATACCATGCCGGCTTTTGTTTATAGGATTTTCCATTTCTGATGCCAGTAGGAAAGGCTTACAAGAATCCACTGAAATGGCGGTGGGGGCAGGGGAGGGTTCTCCCCCTTTCTGCTATCAACCTCATCACAAACAGTACAGTCAGCAGTTGGTGTCACACAATGAGACCACCTGAAAACAGCACAGAATGGGGGTAGCAGGTAAGAAATAAAAAAAATCAAGATCAAGACCCTCTGAGAGGGCCTCAAAGACTGATCTCTGGTATTTGAGTCACCACCAACCTGAAGGCTTCAGATATGCAGTTGGGAGTAGGTGTCTCTGGGTCACAGTAAAACAAGTTTCTTTTAAGTTCCTTGAGGGCAGAAACTTTGTTTCTGTCTTATACTTATTACCTAGCACATTGCTTGGCATATAGTAGGCATTTAACAAATGATTGCTGCGGACTGACAGCGGGAAAACTCACTCAGAGAAGCAAGTGACAAGTCATTATCTGCACATACTAAGTTGCTTTTATTAATCCAGAACTGCATGCTACAGATACTGTACAGCATGAACATGTATTCATTACAAAAATGGCGTCAAAACCATTAAAAATGAAATCAGAATAAGAGCATAAAACGGAACAGTAACATCACAACTGTTAGGAAACATTCAAAGTATTCACAAAAAATGTTATAGTTAGCATCTTAATAAACCAGAGAAAAATTGGAGACAGTTTTACAATCGCTTCATGTCAACTACAATGGCACTGAATGAACAGTTCTCAGCTTTATACAGCATTTTGCAACATCAACATGCCTAGTTTTTTTTTTGTTTTTTTTGTTTTTTTGTTTTTCTTTTTTAAAGTTTGCTACCTACCTTTATGTAGTCAGTTTACACAGAAGCGGCAGCCTGTTTTTTTTTTTTTCCCTTTATGTGTAATCTAATATACAGAATTTTGGCCCTTAAGGGTTTATACCTCTTCATTTTAAATGCTTTCTGGACAATCTGCTACCAAACACATCTTGTTATAGGTGACATTAAAACTACACACATACCTACCTATGTAACATCACAGCAAAACATGATGAACAAAAATTACAGCATTAAAAACAGGGAGAAAGTTAAAAGTCACTGAGAATTTTGGCACGTAAAAATTTGTACACAGTCCACAGTCCTAATGTTGCAGGCCATTCAACTGTAGGTCCAGAGGGGAGACGCCAACGCTCCCGCTGTTTTTCAAACAGCGCCGCTAAAATTCCCTCGCTAATTTTCAAGTCTTATTTAATGTAATGGCTTTCAAAGCAATTTCTTTACACTATTGATCCTTTAATGCATCTATAAATGTCCATTTGGTGGCAACTGTGTTTCATACAGCAAAGAGAAAACAAAACAAAAGTCAAAACCCAAAAAATATATATATACACATTTTATATATATAAACTTAAAAACCTTGTACAAATGAGTTGTTATATATAAGATGCTTACACTAAGGGAGAAAAAAAAACTTTATACAATGGTTCAAGAAAAAGGAAAACATATTTTAAAAGGGACAACATACAGGTACAACAAGCAGTCTCTAAAGCAATAAATACTACTGGTCCAATAGCGTTGTGATACCGGTAATTGGTGAGTAACGTCCCATCCCTCCCCACCCTCCCCCCTCCACCCCAAAAGAACAACACCATGGAACAAGGTATATTAACACATTTTAACCCTTTGTTTCTGTACATTTAAACAATAACAACATCACAAGAAAAGTTGTTTCACACAGAAAAAAAAAGTCATGGCACTGCATTCATTGTGCCCTTATGGTTTAAAAACGAGATGTAAAATGATTGGTTCGCAAGCTCGTATTTAATACAAATAATAAAGAACCAACGCCTTCTGCAAAGGGCTGCTTCAAAATTGCTTCTTTTTGTCTTTTTAAATCAGTCTTTAAAACTAAGCTATCAGAACTACATAACAGTTATGTATATATATATTTTTTTTTTAAACGCTACAAAGACTTTAAACAGCTGTTGATAAAAATTTTGGTAGAATCATGAGGTTTCTCTCTCATCTACATATTTAAAAGGAGAAATTGAAATAAGAACGGGTCAAATATTGACCAATGAACTCGATAAACATCAACTAATGTAGCCATGTGGCACGATTTAAAAAAAAAAAAAAAGACAAAAAAAATCGTCAAAAAAAAAAAAAAAAAGAAGAAACGAAAACAAAAAGGAAAACAAACAAAACCAGGGCTAGCAAAGCTAAAGCTATTCTAAAGACTTGGTTACAAGGGAGAGTGGCTGGGGCTGGGTCCCGGCCAAAGAACCGTGGGAATGTAAGGAAGATGTCGACGGCTGTGCTAGAGACGATGAGGGGGAAGCTGACGGCTGTAAAGTGGAAGGCGGCAGATCCAGGGCCCCGTTCTGACAGTGGGCAGCGGAGACAGCCAAAGAGCTGGGCTTGCTGTGGGCACTCTCAGCCAAGAGGAGAGAGGGCGGCGGCGGCGGCATCATCGTGAGGTGGGCCAGGGAGTCAGGTTTCAATGTAAGCGAGAGAGGTTGGGTTTGTTCAGTCTGTGGTTTGGAGTCTCTGGTAGGGGAGCCTAACATGTTAGGAGAAGAAGGAGGGGAGTCTAATAAGCTTCCATCTGAAGAGGGTGGACTGAGGCAGCTGCCTTCACCTTGTATGTAGCGAACGCACTTTTTTTTTCTCCTAGAAACAGGGGGAGAGAGTTATCTGTAAATAAAGGGCAAAGATGCCAAGGGAGAGAGTTATCTAATGTACAGAGCAGAGCACAAGTCCCCTAACTGATGCCCCGGTGAATCAGCACACCTGGCAGGAGGAAAACATTTTAAAAAAGATGCTCTAGGTGTGCAGAACTAACTAAATTCTAAGCCAGCTGGGCCTAACAAGGAAAAATAATCATAAGAGAACCCACTGCCCCCCACCTCCTCACCCAACCCCTACCCCGAGTAAGTCCAACTTTGGGCAGATTCAGGTAAGCCATAGATACTATGGCAGCCACCTGTCAGGTACAAATTTCTTCCAAATTAGGCTCAAATGAGAGGTTGACCCCTTTCTCCTTTTAATCTCTCTTGTCCTCCCTCCTCCTCCCAATCCCACCCTCAGTAATTATTTTTGTTCCTAAAAAAATAGAGACAGAAAAAAAAGAGAAAAAGAGAGAGAGGGAGAATGAGAAAGATATCCTTCCCTAGGTAGCTCATATCAATCTCAAACTTTTAAAAAGATGGCTGTTTAGCCCATACAGGTGAAGGCTGCTTTAAGTGAGAGATTTACAGACTTTGGAACACCATCACCATGAGGCTGTAAGAGCTGGAACTAGCTTTCAGGTTTCTGTGTTAAGAACCGCACCAAATCAAGAAAGGTCAGAGCCAGGTGAGAAGAAAAAAAGAAAAAAAAGAAAAAAAAAAAGAAAACTCAAACAAATAAAATCAAACCAAACCAAAAACCAAAACCAAAACTAAAAACAAACCACCAAAATAGGTAGAATAGGAATAAAAAGGGGAAGGGAGGGGAAGAATAAGAAAAAACAGAAAATGATCAAAATGATCCAAAGTAACGAGAATAACTGGTTGTATGGCCTGCAGGTTGTAGATTAAATTAAGTCAAGACTTGCCTTAAAATTTTTAAATTTTATTTTTCCTTTTTTTAATTTTTTTTTTTTTGATAGAGGTGGTCAGGGAGGGGAGAAGTGGAAAGGGAGGTTATTGATGGAGGTGCTGTTGATCCTTGAATAGGTCTGACACATAATTAATATGCCAATGCAGGAATCAGTCTGAGGAAGTGGAGGATAGAACACCAAATCACAGCAGTAATAATAACCAAAGGAAGGACTGCAGAGGAGCAGCAGCAGGGACTTTTTGTTCACACAGATTTTTGCCAGAAAGAGTTTGACCCATCAAAAATATAAACTTCCCTTTCTTGACTGGCACCCATTATATAAGGAACAGAAGTAAGAATTTCAGAATCTTTCTCGCCTACCATCCAAGGACATCCAAGGACAATGTGAGAGTAGCCGAACGAAGAAATCAGGTCTATGACTAAAAGGGTCTCACCCATCAACTCGAGTTTGGTAGGAATAAAGTTGGTGGGAAAAATGATCCAGGGATCATTCCCACTAGCACATAGTCTACAAAAATGCTTGAGATTATATATATAAATATATATATATATATATATATATATATACACATATATCTCATTTGCCCAGATTCATAAATTCAAAGTATGCCTAGGATATTGCAGAAGCCTAACTAAAGCTCCAGGCTCGATACAACTGAACCATATCTACCTCCAGCAATAAAGATACCACAAAGCAGTTGAGTCAACCCCTGCCAGACTAACCTTGGAATACAAAGGAGGCCAAGTTCCTCACTCAATCTTCCCCACAGAACCCTGGTCACCCCCTTCCCCCTAGTGTGTATACATTGTGTGGACTGAGCAGGATGGCGGGAGGGTGAGAGGAACACGCTTAAGACTAGCCTGCCTCATGGAGACTGAGACCAATCAATTTCACTGGCTTCATGGTAGGTCAGTTCTCTCCAGAATATAAAGAACTCAGAGGCCAGAGAGTCCATCTGCATCATCTTCCCCTTTATCCTAAATTTGGTAAGATTCTTTCCCTCCAGGCCCTGAATTACACTAAGGTTCTCCTCAAGTTCCAGATAGTGAGATAAATAGGTCAACCTATCAGGGAGTTTAAACCACCTTAGCCTGCAGATCAAAACATGCTGGAAAACTAAGATGTTCATGCATTTTACAAATATGAAGAGGAATTAGGAGAGGAAAAAAAATAAAACAAAGATAAAACAATGAGAAAACAAGAATGAGGAAGAAAGGAGGAGTGAGAAGAGGGAGGGACATTGAGAACAAGGGGAAATCACTTCAGGCAGCATACCATGCTATATTAGGGCACAGTTAAAAGATGGAAAAACAACTTGGTGGGCTCAAAACAGAACCTTGTTAAAAAATCCCCTAAGGTCAACTGAAATGAGAAAGCCATTACTTAAAACAAGGAGTCCTGATCTGCTAATGTCATTTCTAATTTCTCCTTCTCCCCCAAACCCATTTCCCAAAACAATCCTAACTGTGATGTCAAAGCTTGTATCTTACAGTGGGGTTCAGGGGAAAATTTTGAATATGGGATCTGGAGGATGGAGAATGATGAGGGATGTTGGTAAGAGACAATGACTGAGTGAAAGGCAATCAAAATGTATTTACATTCCTGAAGAGTCAAAACCCACAAGAAGTTTTACCACTGATTATCTTTAAAAGAGAAAAAAACCACACTTTGTCTGATTTGTTCAGTAGACACACTCAAGACAAAGTTAAAAGCAGGAGAACTGTATGAGTTCTAATACCCATGCTAATACCCATCCCTAACCTCACAGCACACTCCTTTTTCCAATAACTAGTTCAAAACTCTTCAAAATCCATTTTAACTTTACATCTTTATTCTGAGGGCTAATTCGAGGTTATTTCTGATTACTTCTCTTTGGAATGGCAACTTGGCAATAGAAAATGCATTGAGAAAGGCTCACCAAAGGTAACAGTAACAGCTTGACAAGTGATGACTGCTGCTGCCAGAGCGAAAACTATGGGTAATGGTGAGGGTTTGCCGAAACCTATCACCTGTGATTGTGGCGATGGCCAACTCTCAGATTGTACTATAATTAGTCTCTTCCATTACAGTCTTCACCCTCAAAACTGCATTCCAGAAAATCACAATTCTAAAGCATGAAGCTAGCTATACAATGACTTAAAAAAAATCATAACAGAAAAATTCAACAAGTACTTAAAAACCATGATACACTTTAGAGCCATGGTGGTCAACCTCCAAATAGAAACATAGCCACTAACCATTAGGTTCCTTGCAGACTGCATATTAACCTAGAAAAGCACATATTAATATTGTCTATGTTTTTATTATATTTTTATTCATCTTAAATATTTCTAAATTATATTTTAATCTGGTTCTAGCAGCTGTTTGACACTCGATTTAGAAAAAGACTCCCACTCTGCCCCACTGCTGTCCACTCTCCTCACTTAAAAGTAAGCTGTAAAATCCTCAACTCATAAAGGGATGGGTGCCTTGGTCAACATTAACAATAAAAATATAACACCAAATCTGATCTGTAGCAATGATTTCCCAATAAAAAAGCCTTCACAAAACCACCCTCTCCAACCCCCAAAGCCAGAACCTTACCAGTTTGGGTTTTTTTTTTTTTTTTTGATAGCACACAGAGTTGGTGTCAGACTTGACACCTTTTACAAAGAAATTAAAGCCCTCTTCTGCTCACATAAAGCTTTGAATAGTTTAATCTTGACAGACAGTAAGTCACAGGACAAACTTCCTTGCTCACTGACCTCACTAAGAATGCAAGGTTTGGTATCAATCAGCTGCCCTAGCAGAGTAGACAAAGTACCTGTTGACATGGGACACGCTGAGGGAAAGCTAAGCATCCTTCTGCCATTGCAGAAGAGAAATCACTTGTTACCGCATAGAAAAATGGAATCAGCTCTAACAGTTTAGGGACTTCTAAAGCCATTGAAAGCAGATGCTGGGTAGTTCTTTTTAAATCCTTTTTATTGATGTCAACACCTAGTACAAATGGTCCTTCAAGTAACTCTGCCACCTGTATGTCTCAAGGTCCTAAACTCATCCAATGGGCAGAGAAGGCCCATTTTTGCAGGTATGTATTAAGTCACCACACGTCAGCCTCCTCTTTCCTTTCACTGTAGTTCACAACGCTACCAATCTGCTCCTGCTTGTTCAGAGAAAGAAAACAGGGGAGTTGTGGGCATGCACATAATGTGATGGACATCTGATCTAGGGTCTAAACAACATGAAGCACATGGTAAAGGCATGGACAAGAGGGAAAGGTGACAAGAAAGGCACTACAAACAGAGAGAGAGTGTTCGGGAGTTGAAATACCTACCATCATAATATTCCAAATTCAAAGACTGCTTGTATCAGAACAAAGAAACAACAAATTTAACCAAATGTGGTCATTAAGGAAAGGAAATGAGACAAGAACTAGTTGGTATCCCTCCACCAAGAAAGAAGTACCTATAATGAAGTACCATGGAGTTACAGGTTTGATGTAAACCTGCAGCAGAACATGGGTGTTTAATTTGGAATTCTCTGTGCTGTCTGATTCCTTCTGGCACCAAACATTATTCTGCAGGACTGTCAAGTGCTGCAGTGTCTCTAAGCCTATGGCTCACAAGTTTATAACTCCTTAGCAGGTGCACACCATTCAATGCCACGATTTCCCTTCAGCTCCATAAAAATGTCAGCTAATAAAAATCCAGAGTGAGTAATTATATATAAATGGACAATGCATTTTAAAAAAAATACCAAAAACCTGTCCCAGAACCTTTCTGGTATGCCATAGCTGTAGATCCTTGAATCATGAGAACTGTTGGAAATGGTGGATATATAAAGTTTGTGTATATCCCACCTCAGCATTCTTAGGGGTTGGTCAGCTGCAAAATGCCAACTCTCTAAGAGTGAAAGGACAGATGCCAGTCTTTGTACATCAAGGTCTGACTGTTCCCAGTTCTACCACCAGGGAGATGTTATTGAGAAAAAGAGAAAAAGAGAAAGAGAGAAAGGAGGGTGGGAGAAAGGTAATGGCATTAAATTAGCAAGAAATTTGGAAGGACGTGGATTATTAGCCATTGATGCTAGTGGGGATGGGGAAACAGGTGGGGAGTGGATAAAATACGTTTTCATACTAATGCTCTAGAAGGACAGAAGGCTTTGATTTTCCCAGAGGCCTAATGGTAGTAATATACCTGCACGGTTTGCACCATAAAGTCTGTCGGTCAAGCCCGAACAATGCCCGACACTTCTTTGGAGTATTTGCATCTGTTAGCATAAGGTAAACACAAAAAATACAACACAATGGTGGATCGTGCTCATTTGGATGTGAAGTCTTAGCTAAAGTTTTTTTTTTTCTTTTCAATCACCTGAGTTTTATTTGGTAGTCTCCCCTCACCAAGGACATGAAAGGAAAGGACTTCCATGAGTCAAAAAGAAAAAAAAAATTTAAAAAACAAAAAAAGAGAAAGAGAGAGAAGGGGAAAAAAAAAAGTGACATTATTTGCTTCTATTTAAGTCAGTGTTAACATCCAAGTCACTGAGGCTCGCTCTACGCTGTAGTAGGGAAGTGTGTTGGAAACATTCCGATGGCATGAAACACATTCCTTGGGAAAGGGAGAGACTGGTCTTTGCTGTCCCTGACACGAGAGAAGTATAGATGATGCTGTTTGACAGTGGCATTTATTGTGGCTAGCAGCAGCAAGGAGAACAAGCAGAATCCCTCACAGAGACGATCAGATGGCAGTGCCCCCACTCCCTTGTGTCTCCTAAGATCACAACACAGAGCTACAAAGCAACAGGGCAGAAAAGGGGGAAAGTACCAAATAAACCAGCTGAAAACCAGCCACAGCGAATCTGGGGAAACTATACACACCTGCAGGGACCGCACCAGTTATTCTGTTGATCAAGGCCAAAGCGCGCTCGGCATTTCTTAGGAGCGCTCAGGTCTGAATGAGTTCAAGAAAGAAGCGAGCAGGGAGGGAGGGAGGGAGGAAGGGAGAGAGAGAGAGAGAGAAAGAGAGAGAGAGAGAGAGAGAGAGAGAGAGAGAGAGAGAGAGAGAGA